CCCGCTGTGCCTTCAGACACTCTTAACGCCGTTTGTCACGCTGCATTCTTCGCTGACAAGAAATTAGAAATGTCGTCACGTAGAGAAACAACAGCAGGATTATTAAAGCTTCAGGCAGGAATTTGGACGAATAGGCCATTCCCTCATAGCCTCATCAGGAGACAGCCTGCTTTAAAAGACAAACAAAAAGCTCTTAAAGTGGACAGGTGTGTTCCTTTTTGTGTTTGTGCTTCAGAACCCCAGAAACAAATGTAAGGTTTCTACCCCCATTTATGGATATACATCGATTAGTCATATGAGATTTCTTATGTTTATTACAAATTATGTGCAATATATATATATATATGCCGTTTATAACTGTGCAATAGATACCTGGCTGCTATATCTTCAAAACTGTTACAGATGTGTATTTTGTAAATTGGGTAATTACATTTTCATATCTTTAATTGTTTGTTTATGCATGGGTCTTAGTTAATATTAAGTTGTATTTTGCTCTTTTCCTGCTGTAACAAATGCAAATGTCCCCTCTGTGGGAGGAATAAAGGTATTCTGATTCTGATTTAATATACTTTACTTTCTTTAAGAGAAAGGCAATGCAGGACTGAAAATACCTCTCTATATGAGCCACATATGAATCAGACGCAGGCGCACAATATGATATTTACAGTGTGAAAGCAGGCAATAACAATAAGAGATGTCTTCAAAAACAATCAGTCACAATGACAGGTAATTAATTTGGCCAAGCAACAGTGGCCTGCAGTCATTTGTAAGTTTAGTCACACTTAATCACCTCTCAATGACAATACTGCTTTTTTTTCCCTTCCCTCTGTCATATATAGTCATCATTTTCTCCCATACCCCTATACAGTCTACCATGACAAACAAGGAAGGTATGCTCTGCATTTAATATGCCATACATTGTTTATTGAGAGAAAACAATTACTGTACAGCGACAATCAATACGGCATTATCCTTTCATGTAGCCATACTTGAAGATTAAATTATTATGGACAAAATGACATTGTTATTGCCGTGGCCTCACTCAAGTAGAAAGCACACCGCTTTGATTCCATTCACAAAGTAATTTTCTCAGATTCTATTCTGGCTATCACATTGCCATGACCATCATGTAGGCACAGAGGGGTGTCTGATTAAAGAAGCTAGTGACATAAATGTATTATCTTGATTAGGTTTTGCCTTGTAAGAATCAATGTGGTGGACCCACCGAGAGGGGAAATCAATGTGCGATGGTAAAGAGGACAGTGAGGGTTAATAAGCCAGTGGATGTAAATATGACATCCGGGTTTCTTGCTGGTCATGGGTAAAGATGGCTCTTAATTTGAGTTAAAATAACAATGTGTTGATTATTTGTCAAATGTAAATCATCAGGTGTTGAGTTTATAATATTCCAAGATAGAAACATGACTAAAAAATCAAGGGACAACCTCAGTGCCTGAAAAGGGAAGTCAATACACAAGTGCCATAAACATGCATTCTGTCTAATGGCCAGCAGGGGGCCACTCTTCTGGTGTTGAAAAACAAGTCAGATTGTATATAGACTATATAGAAATTAAATGACCCTACTTCTCTCTGGATGTATGATCTAAGTAAATACTTTTTTAAAGAGTAAGTGGTCTCAATCATGTATGTCAAGTATCTTTCAATAAATAAATATTGTCTCGTTTGTGGTAACAAAGATGATAAAGAAGGGAATGTTTTAGAGTGTGGCTACCTTGTGACTGGGAGGGAGCTATCTTAGTGTTGCCGGTTAATAAAAATGCTGCGCGTGAGACATAAGGAACCTTGTTTTTTTCTAGAGGCTAGGAAAGTCAAATTGCCCTTAAACATGACAGCCTTCTGCTTCTATTTTTCCCTCAAGTTAAAAACCTATAAACAATGGACGTGAGGAAAGGTCATGTTTACGAGCCAAACAATAAAGTGTAATGAGAAGTGAAGTGATAGCACCACCTGAGATTGGAGACTGTTGATCTTGGAGGAATAATGACAGACAAGATTGTTCAGCTCTTTCATGGACCCAGGGACATTTATCCTTTACAAGACATACCAGTGTGGAAAGGATGACAAATATGCTTTCATTGTGGTGTGCATGCACACATTCAATGAGGATATGCATGTCCTGTGACAGCTCTAACTGATGGTTGTCTTCCTTAACCAGGTGTTTTTCCAGTCTTAGCTTACCTTGCCCAGAGGGAAGACTGTCTCCTATCACTGAACACACACACACACACACACCGGCACACGGCGGTCCTCCTGCATAATTTATCTGGCAGGAAGAAGCTACACACACACACACACACACACACACACACACACACACACACACACACACACACACACACACACACACACACACTCAACAAAGGCATTCTGGCTCTGAACATTTCTTTTTGTTGTGGAGTCGCTTGCAAAAGACAGTTTCTCAGTGTGAGCAAAGACTGTGGAGTAGCAGCATTGAAGGTGCCTGCTGGAGTCTATGTGAATTTTAACCAGAGCTAAACATGACACATTTACGATTTCTCGTGCAAGAAATCATATCGCACTGAAGGCTGTGTACAGAGGAATTCTCTCTTTCTCGTCTGAGTGCCTCCCTCTTTTCTCTTTTTCCCTTCCCTCGCTCCACTTTTCTTCTTCTGCTGTCTGTGCGAGCGCTCTAAGGGTGCCGCTGGAGGGAGTCCAAAAGGACACAGTGTGAAATGAACACAGCTCTGACCTCCCAGACACCCCCGACACAGCCAATCAGATCACTTCTCCCAGACACAGAGGGCACTATAATTGGTCGGTGGGTGGGAAATATGACCGGTGGGGATTCAAGTGGCGGGAAAAAAGGGAGGAGAGAGGGGGGGAGCAAGGGGAGTGGTGCTACGTCTGCTCACTGCACTTTAACCGACCCATTGCCCAGGACAGGACAGGAAATCTCCGGAACAAAAGCTAGCTGTCATCTCCGCCTGACGGGCCCGCTCTGAACAAAGCTGCACTCAGCTGACTGGCAAACCGACCAATCCTTTAGGGAGGTAGCTTGTTGTAATCTGGGTCTGTCTCACATTCCAGACGTCTCCGCTGAGCGAGGACGAAAGAGCGTGCCCTGAACCCTCAAACAGGAAATGAGTGTGAATGCTGTTCCTCTCCCTGAGTCGGGGGGCCTCAGCTGTGGCCAATAATGGGTTGAAAACGCACGTATGAATACAAACATCCCCATAAGCTTGTGTAGAGGCAACAACACATAAAAGCACCCATAAATTGTCTCTGTGTTTCGTCTTTCACACGTAGGTATGGATGTGCGCACGTCCTTCTCCCAGACATCACTGCTCACAGCTGCATGCCTCGGGCCTTTGCTATCTCCAGACCAAACCCAGACTCACATCAGCCACATTCCACAACCTCCCAAAGCCCCAGGGGCAGTTTCACAGCTGGGCACCGAGCTGGGCCGTTCCCTGCCTCCCTGCCTCCCTGGCTCTCTGGCTCCACTTTCACCATCACAATCACCCTCGTCCCCCCCTTTGCTGGGCATCTTACACACCTTTAAACAGAAAGATGGCTCCTACAACAGTGTTTGTTCTCCATCGGCTCATACCAAGTTTACATGAGAGCAGCCGGAATGTTAACAAGGACTTTGGAATTCCGCTGCTATTGAATATCATTTCAATCTCTTGTAGCAGAGGCTTCTTTTTAAGGTGTGTCATGTTGACGGTGTAAAAAGACATGTCAGCAAACAGACTACATAATCTAATAGCTTCATCTTTGACTGTGAGGCTATCTTGTTGCCAGAGAACATCAGTCGATATGTGAAACTGACCTCGTAATGCAATAAATAGGGGTAGGAGACAAGATGCGACGCCCCGCAGAAACGGGAACCTGGTGAGAAAGGACACTTCTCTCTCTATCAGTTCCTCCTCAGACCTGCTCAGCAGTGGGGGGGGGTGCTATAATTTACCAAACTATCAATTAAACGTGTGTTGACAGCCAGGTCTGATGACATATCAGTATACTTTGATACTCCGAAAGTTTCCACAGCAACGTTAAGATCCAGTTGTACAGGGAATAAAAAAGCACCCTTCCAACAGCTTAAAAAAAAGGAATGTGCAGAAATTCATATCAGTAAACAAGCTCATGAAAAAGTCTCAGTGAAATGTGTCCTTCCTGTCCATGAGGTTCTCATCGGCTACTAAAAATCCAATGCAGCAGGCCTATTGGACAAAAAAAGGCTGAATCCACACACCTGACAATCATAGCGCATTACATTTACATGTTTCTGAAGGTGGGTTTGCAAATATGGATGTATTAATGTGCATGGATGTGTGTGTGTGTGTGTGTGTGTGTGTGTGTGTGTGTGTGTGTGTGTGTGTGTGTGTGTGTGTGTGTGTGTGTGTGTGTGTGTGTGTGTGTGTGTGTCTGTAAATAGTTAAGGGTCTGTTTCATCATTTCAGTAAATGCCACGCAGTAAATCAGTCTAACTGCATCTCGGGCCATTTCCATATCTGTAATAAAGAAAGCCCATCTCCCATCTGATGAGCTGACACAGAAAACTAGATTTATAAAGGGGAGGGAAAGAAGGAGAGATGGGGAATGTGTGTGTGGGTGTGATTTCAGCGATGGACACACACAAAAAAACACGCCCCCCCTCAAAACAATCATAAAATGCACCACTCCCCTCCAAGAGACCTTTTAATTTCAGACCTGTGACACAAAAGCCAGAGCGGCATGCAGGCTTATCTCTCTGCATCCCTTGAAACATGGCGCAGCCCCCAAAGAGCTCCCCTGCGCTACACATGCCACTTTCAATTAGTTCCACAAAGAGAGTCTTCCTCCACCAAAAGGAAGATGGGAGCTCATTACTGAATTCCTCTCTACTCTTGGCTTTGAAATATAGATCAGGAGGCTGTGTCTGACTGCCGGGGCCCACTATGAGCCACAATCGCCGACCATGCCACACCAGTCCAGAGCAGACGAGCGCAGAGTACCGTCTCATGGATTAGCCACTACAGCTTACTCCCCTATCTCACCATTAGCTCTCTGCCTACCCCTATTTTTCTCATTTCCTTTCTACCTCTATATATATCTCTCCCCCCCTCCCACCAAACAGGCTCCCTGAAGCCACAGCTCTCAGCACTAAAATCCACAAATGGGAATATACCAGTTCGAGCAATCAGATGAGAGTGTGAGAGAGAAGCAGCGGAGCAAATGTGGATATCATATCGCACAGTGGTACTATTATAGTTAGCGTAGACACAGAGACATGTGCTGATAAGGCGATGCAAATTCATTCAGGTATTCCAATTAAGCTAAATTGTAAAAAAATATGCAAAGGTGGACTGTGTGCTGGAGTTCATTAGGGAGAGGTTTGACACATTAAAAGCCACAGAGTCAAAAGTACTCGGGGATAATAAATATGAAAGGACTGCCAATAAAATAAAGTACGCAAATTGGTAGATATTTGAAATGGTGACAAATGGTTTCAATGCTGTAATAAAAACATTCACCCTGAGATTAAACAGTCTGCGGGTATATATTTCTTCCCCGGCCAGAGCAGAGAACACACAAAAGCTGCAGTGATAATTGTTGTCCCTCAGGATCCAAACACCAACATCTAGCTGTTTACTTTTTTGACTGATGGTCTCATTAACTTCACATGCTGCTGCGCCACATTCAAAACACTGCATGCACGTGTGTGTCAAGAAGCCGGCGTGTCATCTTTATTTCCACGCAGTATGTTTATACCTTCAATTAACAACTTCCATTAGCAGCGTCCTCGGTGGAGGGCCAGCAGCAAGTTTTGCGAACGGGAGGTTAATGAGAAGCTGTCGACCGAAAACAGACAATGACCATTAGGAACGAGACGCGTGATCCTCTGACACTTTCGTCTTGGAAGAGAAATATATAATTCATTGTGTTGTGCCCTCCAGTTAGTCATTTTCCCTCTTGTCAATCTGCCACGATGTACGGAGGTATCACACACAGGGGTTGACGTTTCGGTTGCTAGGCCACTGATGAAGATTCAGTCTAGCAAAGGGGAGAAAAAGGAGGTGAAAGAGGTAGGAAAGGAGGAGTGGGCGGGTGTAATGGCAGCGAGAAAAGAAGAGGTATAGGGTCTTGATACTCTCTCTGATTCGCTCTCTATGCAAATCACAACAATCACAGGAAATGCCTGGGCCTTGGCTGCAGCTAATTGCCACGGCAATAACAAAGGAGGGCTTCCTTTGAGCGGAGAGGCAAATTAAACATTAGTTTAGAGTTTTCTAGGAGACCGAGGGACGTTATAATTACCCAGAAACCAAAACATCAGCACTTTGCACGCCACACTTCCCACTCTCGTAGCCTGGCGGAGGAAAACAAATGCATCTCATATTCTGGGAGAGAGGTGTTTGGGATAGGGGACGAGTACCAGGAGGGAGATGGAGCCGGGGTGGGGGG